TCCACTCACCTCAGCCTCCCAAAGGCACGGGATTACAGGCTGAGCCACCCAGCCTGGCTAGTAATTCAGTTTTTACCAACTCTGTGCCCATATTGTTTTTGAGGATACTACCAGGTCAGAGAAATAGCATAAAACAGCATTTCCATTTTTCTGAAGGATGAAACAAACATAACCACAAAGGAGATTCCATTTTCAAATAAACTTGGGAGATACTAAATTTTTTTTTTTTTTAACTGAGGATACCAAGGCATTGCCATTAATGCCTGGCTATAGGTTACCAGGTTAAGAAATGTCTTAAAGGCTTTCTCATTAACCTAGCTTCCTATCCCTCCTTTTCATGAAGGTAGTGTAGATTCCTCAAGAGAAACCAATATTCTCAGACAATTATAAGAATTTTAATTTTAAAAGTTGAGCTTCCAAGTAATTAAGATATTTTGTTCCAAATTAGAGGTCGTCTTCTAGCTTTCCAGTATGACTAGAAACAGATACGAGACAATTAAGAAGGAATTATTGAGAGGTTGGCAAAAAAAAAAATAATGTAGAATAACAATATCAGTTTAATTTTTTTCTACAAATTGGGGGGTGAAGTTTTTTTTAGTCTGTTACAGTAAGTAATGCAGATCTACTTAAGCTCTCTTGCATGTACTGCTGGACTGTTGGAGAATGGGCAGAGTTAACGAAACCACTCATCTGAACTTGGGGAACTAAGCCCAGAACTCACTTGGAAATTTGGACATGAAAAGATAATGGAGTGGGTTCATGGCTGCATTTTAGAAGGACTGAATTACATAGTCAAAGGAGAAAAGAAGCCACTTTTTTTGCTGTGGGGGCCGGACCAGGCTGGAGTACAGTGGCATGATCACAGCTTACCTCAGCCTCGACCTCCTGGACTCGGATCCTTCCACCTCAGCCTCCCGTGTAGCTGGGAGTATAGGCACATGCCACAATGCCTGCCTATTTTTAAAATTTTTGTAGAGATGAGATCTTTCTATATTGCCTTGGCTAGTCTTAAACTGGTCTCAAGCAATCCTCCCACTTTGACCTCCCAAATTACTGGGATTATAGGTGTGAGCCACCATGCGTAGCCTAAGGCACTTAATTCAATGATTTGTTTGCTATAGATGTTTAACTAGTTTGTAACTTGTTACTGATTCTTAGTTTTTTTTGTAGTTTGTCCTAGGAAGTTGTATAGGAATATTCTGTGCCTCTTCCCATCCTGAAAAGTAGTATTGCTGCCAGTAAAACTCCTTTAACTTGACTATCACTCTAAGGCCTAATTGCTGTATTTACATTTCCATAGTGGGCTTCCTAGGAGATAGTATTTGGGCTATTTTGGTTGTGTTAAAAATGCCTAATAAAAGATGGCAGTGGTAGGCACATTATACCCAATTCATGAACTGTTTGTGTCAACCAAAAGCTCATTTGAATCACATGAGTAGTGAAGTTTTTCTTGCCACTTTAGCTATTTTAGTGTATTGAGTGTATGTCAGCATGGTGAAATATGGTAGTATAGCTGCAGATTGAAAAGGAATCATGAACCAAGGTACAAGAGTAAAATAACAGGCTATGGTACTGCCCACTCAAATTCTGTACATGCTAGAGCTGGCTGGAGTCTGTGGCATGCTCATTGGTGAGAGTTGGTGTAAGAACTATGCTTTTCTTTTCACAGCTGTGTTGTGGGAAAGCTAGTCTCTTGAGCATTCTTGCTGTGAATGGACTGGAATAATTTATCTTTTGGTACTTTCCCAGGCTATTAGTATTATCTAATGATTGGCTTAAATATGCCAGAACACAGGCTGTCTCCACTTGTTTCTGGCTGAATGGATGTAACCTTCTAGCTAGTGAATAAGAGGCAGTAGCTAATCTGTCTCATTCTGAATGATCCAGGTTGACTTATATGAGAAACACTGAGCCTTTTAATTGCTGAAGGCCTGACCCATAAACTATAAGTCTAACCTAATTCAACTTGAATTAGACTGAAACCACAGAGTTTATATTCAGTTCACATGTAAACTTACTTGGACTAGCTAGTGTCTGGCCTGTCCTATCTCAAAATATAGGTTGACCTGTGTTTATTGGAATCTCTGACTAGTCAGAAGGTATCCTTAATTACGTTCTCAATACTCAGGAATTTTTACTTGTAGAAACCGAAGGTTCAGAAGAAGAGGATAAAGAAAATGATAAGGCTGAAGAAACGCCAGATGATTTGGTTCTTGAAAACAAGGTAAGTCATTCATTTAGTATCGTTACCCACTTTCTTATTGCAGGACTGTAGGTTACTAGTGTAGACTTGATTATCATAGATAGCTGTCTCTTGGCTAGGGATTAGAGACATTTTATTCATACTTAGGATAGATAGACATATTTTATTTCAGGGATTCCTGTCTCTTAGTATATGGCCCATCATTTCATTGTTAAATATCACTGGCATAGGTGAAGACTTAGGATAAAAACGTTGTAGGAATCCCTTCTCTAAGTTGTAGGGTGAATGTTCAAATTTTAAATCGCATATCAGGTTTTAAAATTTTGTTTAGCCATATTAGATCACACACTTAGATTTGTACTCTAAAAAGATGCCTGTCTTTTTTATTTGGTGGATATACTTCAGTCTCTTCAAGAAAATGAAGAGGAGGAGATTGGGAACCTAGAACTTGCCTGGGATATGCTGGATTTAGCAAAGATCATTTTTAAAAGGTAAAACTCTTGGCATTTCTAGGCTTAGTTTGGGAGCTTGGTGGTTAAAAATAGAAAGCAGTTAGGTTAGACAAGCATTAAGATTTCTGATCAACATTCCTTCTTCTAGGCAAGAAACAAAGGAAGCCCAGCTTTATGCTGCACAGGCACATCTTAAACTCGGAGAAGTTAGTGTTGAATCTGGTAATACATTTTCCATGTTACTCCTCCTCTAATCTTCCCCATTCCTCTATTCTTTCTCTAATAGACGTTCTAGAATCCAGCTTGATTGATTGTGAGTTGGGCGGTTGGTTTTAAAAAGACAGTAGATTTGGGTTTCTTATTGTCCCTTGAATAGTCAACAGTCTCTTCCAAGTGGTATTCTGAAAGTCAGTAGCGCGCTTTTGTTTGTTTTGGTGTTTCACTCTTGTCCAGGCTGGAGTGCAGTGGCACACTCATGGATATCACAGCCTTGACCTGCTGGGCTCAGGTGATCCTTCCACTTCAGCCTTCCAGGCAGCTGGAACTACAGGCACATTCCACCATACCTGACAAATTTTTTTTACATTTATTGTAGAGACGAGGTTTTGCCAAGCTGCTCAAGCTGGTCTCGAACCCTTGGGCTCAGACAATCCTCTTGGCTCTGCCTCCCAGAATGATGGGATTACAAGTGTGAGCCACCACGCTCAGCTAGTCATTAGGGTTTTTTTTTGTTTTTTTTTAGTTGTAGTCTCACTCTGTTGCCCAGATTGGAGGGCAGTCACACACTCACGGCCCCCGCAGCCTCGACCTGCTGGGATCCAGTGATCCTTCCTCCTCAGCCTTCCAAGGAGCTGGAACTACAGGCTTGCGCTACCACGCCCAGCTCATTTTTGATTTATTGTAGAGATGAAGTCTCACCAAGTTGCCCAGGCAGGCAATCCACTCACCTCAGCCTCCCAAGGCACGGGCTTAGAGACTAAGCCACCGAGCCCGGCTTAAGTCTCTGACTTTATTATTTATTTATTTATGTATTTATTTTTTGAGTTGGAGTCTCACTCTGTCACCCAGACTGGAGTGCAGTGGCCGCTCCTGGCCACCGCAGCCTTGACCTGCTGGGCTCCGGCCATCTTCCGCCCCGGCCATCTTCCGCCCCGGCCATCTTCTGCCCCTGCCATCTTCTGCCCCTGCCATCTTCTGCCTCAGCCTTCCAAGTAGCTGGAACTACAGGTGCGCGCTACCACACCCAGCTC